CGCGTCTGAGCGCGCTCCCGAGGGCTGGGCTTGCGTGACTCCGCTGCCCCATCAAGGCCAGAATCTAAACAATCTTGATTCCTGTCCCGGCAGCGCTGGGCTGGGCTCTTCAATTGCAGGAAACGGAGCCTTTGGCGTGTTTATGTCGGGAACCACAAAGAATGAGCCGAGGAGGGGCCGTGGAGCCCGCGGCCGTGGAGCGGGGTGGGGGGCAGTGGGGGGCTCGGCCGTGTTTGCCTTGGCAGAAATGTCCCTTTTTATAAGTTGGGAAAAAAAAAAAAAAAAGGAAGAGAAAAAATAGCCAAACTTCCCCCGAGGCACAGCAGGGAATTTTTGGCTGCCCCTGTTTGTGTCATTGATAAGCTCGGGGTACAAAAGCCCCGCCGGGATCGAGCCCCGGACCGAGGCCAGCGGTGCCACGCGGTGGGAGCGCGTTGAGCTCCATCCCATGGCCTGGGCCCTGCTGAACCTGGAACCTCCAGCGGTGCCGAGCCCACGGGGGCCGTGGTTTTTACAGGGCGGGAGCTGTGGTGTCCAGTGCCACGGCCGGGAGGTCCCCCAAGCTCGGGAGGTCCCGGGATGTGCTCTCAGGAAGGGCCGTACCCAGGACGTCCGGAGCCAAACTCCATTGGAAGCAACACATCCTACCTCGCTCCGCCCGCCCTCTCCCTCTCCAAGTCCCCCCTCTTCCTTCCCAAAGCCCCCGGGGCTGGTGATGAGCCCCTCGGGGGTGCAGGAACCTCTCTCACCGCTCCGCTCTCCGCAGGACGATGCCGTGTGGGGCCGGTGGCCGCGCGGTGCTGGCGCTGATGACTCTGTCCCTCGGCCTCGCAGCCGGTGAGTACCAACGTGGTGGGGTGATTGGCAGGTTAAAATAAACCCTCGGCTTTTTGGGAGCGTCCCTGCCCGAAATAACCTCCTGCAGAGGGAGCCGGGGCTCCTCGGGGACGGCGCCGTCCCCAGCGAGGGGCTGTGCCCCTGCGGGACCGTGACCCACCCCCCAGGGAGGATCTCGGCTTCGTTAATTAATTGCTTTGCCATCACCGGAGGGGAGATGGAGAAGGCTGGGAAAGCACCACGTGCTTTAAAGAGTGAGTCTTCCCAGGGGTGGTGATGATGGTGATGATGGTGATGGTGAGGAGCACGAGGAGCTGCTCAGCATCCCAGGGGCGCCCCAGGTGACCCGGGGACAGGTCCAACTGGCTGTGTTTGTGCAGGGGGGACAGTGTGGCTGTGCCGGGGAGGAACAGCAGAGCTCACTGAGGGGACGAGTCCCCACCGAGTCCCCATCCTGCCCACGGGACCACCAACCCCAACCCAGCCTGGCCACCACCCCACAGCACTGGCACCGGGCAGCCTTTTGGGCAGGGGGATGACAGGCACAGGAGGGGGACTGGCCACTGGCAGACATCTCCTCGCTGTCCCCTCGCTGTCCCCTCGCCGCTGGCCGCCTGGCTGCCCTCACGCTGAACTCGCTGATTCCAGGAGGGATATTTTCTGCGCGAAAGGGCAGAGCTAAATCGGGCGCCGGGGAGCGTGGCGCCCTCTGAGCCGCTCCGGCACCACAGCACAGGGAAGCGCCTTCGGGGAAGGCAGGAAGAGCTCCAGGAAAGACGCCGGGATTAGCACCCAGCTCCTAGAACACCCTCTGGGGAGGTGCTGGCTGAGTCTGGGGCTTTTGGTCCCACCCTGGCTCCCAACATTCGGCTCCCACAGCCCTGGGACCCCGCGGGCAGGGTGTGCCTGTGTGCTGCCAACCAGTGCATCCCAGTTAATCCCAGCTGCTTGGGCTGGATGCCACCCCCAGGTTCAGGGCTGGCACTTGGATCCCAGCTGGGAGCAGGTGATTTTCCAGGAGCTGTCAGGATGGGCTCCCTGAACTGAGCACCCACAGCCACCTTCCCCTCCTGGACCGTGACGGTCCCAGGCTGCCCACTCTCAAAATTTGGCTCAGGACTCTCTAGGACAGTGCCCCTGTCAGCAAAGCCACCAGCCCCCGTCCAGGGTGGTCTGGTGGCACAACGTGCCCCCTCCTCGTGCCCGCAGACGAGCTGTTGTGCGCCTGCGACGTGCCCTTCTGCAGCCAGCCCACCTGCACGGGCAAGGTGTGCTTCGTCAGCAAGAGGAGGGAGGAGGGCACCATCACTCAGCACCGGGGCTGCTTCTCCCAGAACATCCTGGAGCACTGCAACACGCCCGTGACGGAGCAGTACGGCATGAGGTGCTGCGAGTCCCGCATGTGCAACGCCGAGCTGGACATCTTCCTGCAAGGTGTGGGGCCACGGGGGCGAGGGGCAGAGCTGCCCACGCGGCTGGAGGTGTGCTTGGGTCTGCAGATCACCCCTGCCCTCGCTCAGCCCCCTGAGAGTCACCTTTTCCTGAGGGGGGGCAGGGCCAGCGAGATGTCCTTGGGGGTCCCTTCTTGGGCTGTGCCTGCAGAGCTGCCACCCATGGGGTTGAACCCAGTGCAGAGCCACCCTCCCCAGGTCCAAGCCCAAACCCCGAGGCCTCCACCCTCCCCAGGTCCAAGCCTGAGCCCCCAGACCTCGCTTATCACGCTCCCATCCATCATTTCCCCCACCCAGGAGAAGATGCCCTGGGAAAGGCTCCTTCCCTGCCCAACCTCCTCCTGATGATCTTCGTCCCGCTGCTCGCCC